CTGACTTATTTCACTTAACATAATAGTCTCTAAGTCTATCCATATCATCCCAAATGTTACGATTTCATTCTTTATGGCAGAGTAATATTCCATTGTATAAATGTACCACAATTTCTTAATCCAGTCGTCTACCGATGGGCATTTCAGTTGTTTCCAAGTCTTGGCTATTGTGAATAGCGCCGCAATAAACATGGGGGTACATATACTTTTTTGAATTAGCGTCTTGGGTTTCTCTGGATAGATACCCAAGAGTGGAATTGCTGAGTCATACGGTAGTTCCATTGTATGTGTTCATTTTTTAATCTGGTAAAGTTTTATTAAAGTTTTAATGGCTCTCCCATTTACTTTTCTTCTTCCCATATGGGCTCTGACTAAACTCAGTATATTAGTTGGGACTCTTTAGGTTGCAAATAACAAAATCAACTGAAGCTATTTAAGTCTTAAACAGGATGTTATTAGAGGGATAGTGGGGTATCTCATGTAATTCAGGGGCTGCAATACAGTCTAACAATGGACTGTATATAGGGACTGAGACCTGAAATACTTAGGAAAACCCAGGCAGTTTTCTCTCCATTTTCTTTTGTCTTCTTTATTTTGGCTTTTTTTTTTTTAACATCTCATTGCAAATCATGGTTACTATCAACTCCAGATTTTACGTATATTTAATTTCCATTACCCAGAGAAAAACTGTCTTCTCTTTCTCTCTTCCTATCTCAAAATCCTGGGGAAGGTCTCTTATTGGCCCAGCTAGGTCAGGCACTCATCTCTAAAGTCAACTGTAGGCAAAAAATTTCATCGTCTGTGGGAACCATGTGGATGGTGTGAATGGGGGACTGGAGGAGCAGAAGAGCAGAAGAAAGGGTTATTGTTCATAGACTTCCAAATCCTACCCATTCTTCAATGTCAGATCAGAACTTTAGAACTGGAAAGGGTCTAGAAATTCACCTAATCGAAACACCTCACTTTATAGATGAAGAAATGGCAAACGTCCATCATCTTTAATTACTCATGTCCTTTTTCCCTGAGTTACCTTCTTGAGCCTTTTTTTTTTCTCTAAGTTTGTTAGCCTAGCTTTCCAAAACCCTACCCTTAGTGGCTGAACATAGCTGCTTTTTGCCATTCTAAGAGCTTTACTACCCAGGAGGTCTTCATAAGTATAATTCAGAGCCTACCTATTGGGTTTACCTTTTATCAGTGCCTGTTCATTCATTTTATTTCCCTCATAGGAATGTCTTCCTCTGCTGGTCACCTGAATGCTCTTCCCCAGAACTGTGTCCTTCAGCTTATTCTCTTTCCAAGCTACACATTTTGTCTAATTTATTTTGTTGACATCCCAACACTTTTTACATCTACATCTATATCTTAGAAATCTCTCCTGAGCTCCAGAACATTATATTCAATGTCCCACTGGATATCTCCACTTACCTATCCCATAGTTATCTCAAAGTATGTCTAAAACTCAACTCATAATTTTTTCAATAAAATATTATTCCTTGATTCAGGAAGTGGTACCACCACCCATCCAATTCTCTAGTTTAAACTTCCTCTTCCTCTCATCCTTCACCTCCCCGCATTAGTCACCAGTTCGATATATTCTATTTAGGATTTCAGTCTATATCCTCTACTCCATTCCCATTGATGGTGATTTAATCAGGCTCTTAGCACTTCCTAACTGCTTAAATACATTTCCAACTGGTTTTTCTATATCTAACCTGGGCTCGTCTCTCTATCCTTTCCACTGCTGCTAGAGTGGTCATTCTAAAACACATATCTAATAAAAAAACATTTTTGTTTAAAATTCCTCAATGTTTTCTCATAACTTGAAGAAAAGTTCAGACTCCTTACTCTAGAACACTTGGTATAGAACATTGCTTATTTTTCTGTTAGAGACTTCCAAATTTCCCCGCAAACATACTTTGCTCCAGCCATAAAGACCTTATAGTCATCTTGGTATTCCATGCCGTTTCATGGGTTCTGGTCCTCAACTACCCTATTTTTTCTTGCTTCTGCTCAATTTCTTTGTTTAGTTGGCTCCTACTCATCCTCCCAGACATAGTGTATGTCACATCATCAGGGAATATATACCTCACAAAATGTATGCCTTCTTTAACAATTGAATTCTTGGCTGAATTTACTAAATAAACTAAAGAGATAGGCCTTATCCTACCGGATTTGGGGGCAGAGAGTGATAATGTGGGGTTTAAATTTTATAAAATTACTCTAGAATCAATGCGGAAAGCCATGGCTCAACATGGACCAATAGCCAGTGTTATCCCACTTCAGTTTGCTTCATGTCGTTACTTGCTTCACCTCCTTCTTTTCTTAACCTTGCTACCATGGGTTTAAACCTTTTGGAAAAGCACCTAGTCCTTGCCTCAGGCTGTTTCCTAGAAGAGTCTGGCTAATACTGACATATACTTCCAGTTAGACTAATCAGGGACAATGGGACAATTTCTGGACTTATCGTTGAAGTATTAGGGAAATGAATGTACTGTTTTTCCCTGCTAAACACAAATCTGAAGGCTGTTTCCCTGGAAGCTACTGGCAGTGAAGGAAGAGGAAGGCTGCCTGGAAGTGGAGCCAACACACTGGAAATAGATCCAAGAAATGGAGAGCGAAAACTCAATTCTGGTCATGCTGTTTAACTCCTGGATCAAGCCTCACTGAAGCTAGAGCTCCTGGGTTTTCAAACTCCTATAAATGAATAAACCCTAATTGATTCATAGATTCAAAATTCCTGTATCTGAAGTTGCCTGTTTTTAGCAGAAGCATGCCCCAGTCTTACATCCCTAGCTCCTTCTCACCTCCCCCAACTTCCCAGCTTAGGGCTACCTTCTCTGGCTTTCTCCAACTAAGCAATGCCCTTTTCTATTACCAGACAGACACTGGTGTTTGGCTGAAGAAAGGCTGACCTTAATGTGGGGAAGGGAAGATGATCAAATACAGAATATTTTTAATGGGCTTCTCTTGAGCATATAAAAATTATGTCAATAATTGTTCTAGCACCTGTGAGGAACACAAACTTGAGCAAAATAAATTCCCTGCCCCTAGGCTCTGATGTTCTACAGCAGCATCGTCCAAGAGAAATGTAATGTGAGCCACAATACAAATGTGAACCATATATGTAACTAAAATTTTTCTAGCAGCCACAATAACACAATAAGTAAAATTTAAAAAATATTTTGTTTAACCCAATATACCCAAATATTATCATTTCAACATGTAATCAATACGGAAAAAAATATTGAGTTATTTTACATTGTTTGTTTCCTACTAAGTCTTCAAAATATGGTGTGTATTTTCTAGTTACAGCACATCTCATTTTGGACTAGCCACATTTCCAGTGCTTAAGAGACACATGGCTAGTGGTTACTATGTTGGACAGTGAAGCTATAGAGAATGCTCATATAGACAAATACTTACTTTTATCATATAGATAAACATTTATATGGTAGACTGTAATCAGTGTGATGTTAGAGCACAAATTCTGTGCTCTGAAAGAGTAAAAAGATGGAAAGGAAAACAGACCATTTGTATCTAACCATATTTCCTTGGTCACAGATATCCTGGACATGAAAGAACTAAATCAATGACTTTGTATATGCATGGGCCTTAAATGCCTTTTGGGGAAGGGCATCTTTTTGTGAAGTTTGAGTCCCACGGTCTTGAGAATGAAAGCTCGGGGGACTTGGTTCTGCTGTCTTGCATATTTTTTTCCCCATAGACTCCATTGTTTCTGGGTATCTTCTGTGTCACTATAGCCAGCAGCTTTACCTCCATCCTCCACAAGTACATGTGAAGATAGGTCAGCGTGTGAAAGTGTTGAGTAGGGATTTCCCTGGCACTGGAGTTATAACCTGGTGAAGAAAGGTTATACTGGGGAGGATGCAGCAACTTTCTCTAGCCTCGATCCAGCAATGCCTACTCATATTTCACCTGATTAAAAAGATTTTCCTCAACTTTAATATTTCCAAGAACAAAGATGTTTTCCTACACAATCACAAAATCATTATCACACTCAGGATATTTATAATTGATTGATACTATTGTCTAATATACAAGTCACATTTGAATTTCCCCAATTGACCCAAAATGTCCTTTGTAGTTAATAGTTTTGTTTTTATTTAAGAATTATTTTTCTCTATTCTGAGGTCCAAAAGGTATTTTGCTATATTATGTTCTAAACGCTTTATAGTTTTGCTTTTCACATTTAGGTCTTTAATTCTCCTGGAATTGGTTTTTGTGATGAAGGCAGCTAGAGGTCTCATTTTATATTTTAAAAATAAGGCTTGGGCCGGCCAAGTGGTGCGATGGTTAAGAACTGGCTTGGGACGCCAGAGGGCCCCGGTTTGGATCCCACATATGAGGGCCAGTGACACTGCCCTTCACAGCTAAGATGCTGAACAACAGCTCAACCTGGAGCTGGGCTGCCGTGAGTCGCTGGCGACGGTGTAGGCTGCAGCCCCTGTGGCAGTGGGTTGCCATGGGCTACCGTGTGTAGCCAGCAGCCAGCGTGAGCGGCCAGCAGCCGCAGTGAGCGGCCGTCCAGAAGCCCGCGACTGATCTGCCTCGCCTGGGAAGAGCGCAATGATGGTGCCAACTTGGGCCAGTGAAGCAACGTCCTCCACAACTAGACTGAAGAACAAAAAGGACAGCAACTTGTCTGTTCCCCTTCCCCCAATTCCCCAGCACTGTTCCCATCCCCCCAATTCCCCAATAAAAAAATCTTTAAAAAAATAAAATAAAATAAAAAATAAAAATAAAAATAAGGCTACCCTATTGTCACAGAAACATCATTGAAAAGACCATCTTTTCTCCATTGCTATGTGATGCCACCTGTCATAAATCAAATTTCCAAATATGTGAGAAAACTGTTATGAAAAGCAAAGAAGCGATTGTCATAAAAGTCAGGCTAGTGGTTTCCTCAGGAAGTTGGCCCGGGAGTGTGTTTGGGAAGGGCCTGGCCCTTTTCTATTTTTTCTCTAATGATAGATAATATGTCTGTTCCATCATTATTACACGTACACTAATTTTATATGTCAAAATATAATTGTAAATAGAAAAAACACATTGATGAGACGAGCGCTAGCATCTGTGAAAGGTGAGTTCGCGGTTGTTCTCTCAGCTGGGAAAGAAGAGGATACAGAATCCAAAGGAGGCTGAGCGAAGACGCAACGCTTAGCGGGCAGAGACCAGGTGACCCAGAGAAAGGGACATGCCCAGACCTTTCTCGGACCCCGGCTTAGCAGTAGCCAGGAGACCCCGGCAGGTGGGCGCTTCTAGATCAAGTGACAGCGCAGTTCCGTCGAATTAAATCACACCCACAGCCGGCGGTGAACACGGAGGTCCTTGCCCTGAGCCCCACCCCGCATTAGGACTCCACTCCGCGGGGCCGCGAGGATCCCGGTCTGAGCCGCAGCGTCGCGATTTCTAGGCAGCGCCGCGGAGGCCTCTGGGAGGGGGCGGTCTTGGGCAGCCGCTGGGCATTCTGGGCCTGGTCTCCCGGCAGCTCTGTGCAAAGCCAGGGAGGAGAGGGATGCTGCCCGAGCTGCTCGAGCTGGTGGAGGGTGGAGTCCTGGAGCCGATCCCAGGCCGCGGCGGAGCCGGGTGTTGTCCGGGGTTTGCAGGAATATCCGAGGTTAGGGGAAGGTCAGCAAATAGGGGTGGCGGACTGAGGGGCTGCGTTTTGGAGCCCAGGGGTCTCTCTCCCTGCTGTTGCCTCGTCCTCCCACCCTCTTCCCCGGTGGCAGCGGTTCCTGGGCAGCGGCTTGTCTCGTCTGCCAGCGCAGACCAGGCTTCTGTGGGCTCTGGACCTTTTGCCCTCGGAAGACCCCGCTTTCGGCTGGGACCCCTTCCCGAGGCCAGCGACCCCTTGTTATTCTCGGCTCCTCCAGGACATTGTAGGAAGCGCTCAATAAACTTTAGGGCATGCGTGGAACTCCTGGGGAGACAGTAGTTTGGGTCCAGTGGAAAGGTCCTCGCGAAAGGCAAGTGTTCGGAGTCCAGGCTGCTCCGAAAAAGTCAGGATACAGAGGGTTACAGGAGTAGCAGCTCCGCAAGCAGCTGGAACCCATCAAAGAAGAAAAGCCTCTGTCTGACCTGAGATCTCTGCCTGAGATTCTGGACAGAGATTGGGGCTGGAAGAGGAAATTGGCCCTGGAGCTCCTGGGGGACCTTGGTTATTTTCTATTCTTTTGCTTGCAGGGAGCAGCGATTGGATCAAGTAACTGCAGTCCAGGGTATGGGGGAAAATGAAGTCATGGAGGATTTGCTCCTGGAGAGAGGCAAGCGTTATCTAGGACCTGGGGCGAGCAACAGTCCGTGCAGTGTGGATGACAGCGGAGGAAACTCCACAATGTGAGGGACTGGTCAGGTGAGAAAGGACCAAAAGTCCCAGTTCGACCACAGCAAGGCCCAGAGTTGCTAATTTTGGTTTCTTCGATGCAGACCTTGTCTTTAAGAGCACCTTTCTCTTCCCCCAGTTTTGTCATTTCAGCCTTGCCCTGTGAGGAGGAAGGTCAACCAAGTCCCAGGTGAGTAGTTTTCCTCACCCCTAAGGCTTAATCTCATTTGTCAGAGGGAACTGATAACAATCTCATCTCTTTCTTAGGAGGGGAAGGAGACCCACATTAATTGAGTGCTAATACATATACTGTTTTATCACTCAATCGTTGGGGTAGCTGAGTACATTTGGAAGGAATACTCTAATTTTAAAGATGTGTCAGTAGCCTCAGGCAAACTAACCTCTTGCCCAAGAGTACTCCTAAAGCAAGTAGCACATTATTATACTAAATGCTACTGACTTAATCAGGATCAGATTCAGAACCCAGACTCTTGACACTATGCTGGTGTTTCCCAAACTTCTCATTCACTTACCACCTAATGATGTTTGTCGTACTTATGTACTGCTACTTGTGTTGTTATTCTGAGATTTTTAATTTTTTACTTACATTTATTTAAAAATTAAGCTCATCTTCTAAGAAACACCATCTATGAAATTATGCATTTGATGGATGCTCTAATAGCTTTATGTTTATTCTAAGATATACCTAAAAATGTCGATCAATGTACCATGTAAAATCATCTCGTGTCAAAAAGATCCAAACTGCGTTTTGGTACACAATGCACTTTGTTGTGCTCTCGCCTGGATTTTTTCTGCATTGGAAAGTCCAGGCAATACATCTGAGTCTAAATTGTCCATCCCAAGTGTATTGTTTTCTTTTAAGTGACTATTTACACAGAGTTTGCACATACACTCCCCCTTGTGTCTTCTCAATGACACATTTCACTTGTTCAGGGTTTCTCTGTTCTCAGTGTTGTATATAAAACAAGTAGAAAGTCCATACTTTTAAAGAGCTTATTCTCTCTTTGGGGAATTAATACATACACATGAAATAATCTAAATCAGTACTGTCCAATAGAGCTTTCTGTGATCAGGGAAATGTTCTATATCTGTGCCTTATAACGTGGTACCGACTAGCCAAATGTAGCTACTGGAGCACTTGAAATACACCTAATGCAACTGAGAAAATGAGTTTTAAATTTGATTTAATTTTAATTTTAAATTTAACCACCTGTGGCTGGTGGCTACATATGGAACAGCCCATGTCTAGATATTTGAAATAAATATTTTCAAGGTCAAGTGATTTGGCTTTAGTGCCCTCCCCCTGAGACGGAAAAAACCCCCAAAGTATACATGTTCATGGCCATTTAACTTTAGTTTCTTGGTGGAGGGTAAAGATTCTCTCCAACCTTCATGTTGAAACTAAATGATGAAATTATCATCATTTAAGGCACATTTGCAAATATGCAGTTTCTGTGTTTTATTACTATTGAAGTATACTATTTCAAGGCATCCGTTCTTAAACTTTTAACATGGGAGTTGGTGCATTCAGCTCATTCATTGCTTATTAGAATAGCAAGGAGAAACTTGGCTCATAGTTACCTCAATCAGCTTAAATTCTGTGTCAAATTATTTATTTTCCTGACACCCAAAGCCCCTAGTTGACTGATCATAGTTTGTTTTGCTTTGTTTTCTCTGTGTGCAAGGTTAGATATGTGAGTTTAGGAGAAAGGCTTAACAAGAGTGTTTTCACAAGATAATTTGCCTAGTTTCTTAAGGTTAAAAATACTTGAGACACGAACAGTCAAACACAATGTGTGGTCTTTGTTTCCTGGTTTACAGAAAAGCTGTCTAAGATGTTTTAGAGCAGTTGGCGAAATTTGAATACAGACCAAAGTGTTAAGGAGTTATTAATTTTGTAAGCTGTGGTAGTAGCATTGTAGTTAATGTAGGAGAATGTACTTATTTGGAAATACATGCTGAAGCATTTATATTTGAAGTGTTAGGATGTGTGTAATTTACTTTAAAATAGTTTAATACACACACACAAAAGAAGTAAATATAGCACCATGTCAACAGTTGTTTATCTAGAAGGTGTGTATATGGGTGTTCTATTTTTTTTATTTCTCTGTATGTGAAATTTTTCGTAGTAGAAAAATTTAAAAAGTACCCGTCCCTTGGTAGTGTAGTGAGATATTGGATGTGAAGCACCGTATCAGTGTCTAGCACACAATAACTGCACAATTAATAGTCACTATTATTTATAGCAAATACAGTGATATTAAATAGTGCTTATTGACAGATTTTTTCATCATAAGCTAATGTCATGTAGAGGGAGAAAATAAACTTAGTGGGAAACACTGATTTCTATAATGTTAGGAGGATAATTTATAGTCAATAAGAGTAAGGTGAAACTCACCAAGACCTTTTTTCTCCTTGCCACTTCCTTAACGTATCTCAAGTATAAAAAGCAACTGCTTTCCATATGTTACTGTGAACATCCTCTCTCATTACTTCATGCTATTACTTTGTGGATGAGCGGATCAGTTTGTATTTATCTATAGTCTTTCAATTTTGCTGTACTATGTTCCCGAGAACTACATTTAAAAAGTCATTGTAGAGAGGCTGGCCGAGTGGCTCAGTGGTTAAGAGCTCACTCAAGAGTGCGAGCTCTGAGCAATAGCAGTTCGAGTCCCGGCCCAAGCTGAGCTGCTGCTGAGCTGCCAACAGGTGGCAGGATGGCTCAGCTAAAAAAAAAAGTCATTGTAGACCGATTTTTCTCAAGGAACAGTTTGTAACTGAGATTTATTTTCCTAGTCAAGAACTTTGTATCAAAGGAATTATAGAAGTGGCCCATGGTAAACTGCCAAACATTGCTCCAACATTTACAAAGACCTATATTCACTTAAAAGAATGAAATAATATCCCAAGTCAGTAGAATTTTGAAGTAGACAAGGCAAATCTCAAATCCTTTATATGAAGAAATTGAGGTCAAGGAAGGGGATATGCTTGGTCACATGCAATAGTTATGACTCTTTTTTAAAAATTAAGTGAAATTTATTGGGGGTGACAATGGTTAGTAAAACTACATAGGTTTCAAGTGTACAATTCTGTAATACATCATCTATATATCACATTGTGTCCTCACGATTCTTTTTACCTCATTGGAATTTGAGAATGTTTTTTAGAAATTTTTTATTTGGATAATGTATTTCTTTAACACGATAGACAGGGTCTAGCCCAATCCAGCCCTTTGCCATGGCAGAGCCTGGGGAAGAGGAGACGATGTCAGCAGAGGCCTCAGGGTTCTCAGACTTGAGTGACTCGGAGTTTCTGGATCTGGAAGATACCCAAGAATCCAGTGCTTCACTTAGTAAGCCTGGCCCTTCTGAACTTCCTGGGAAGGATGGCATGCTCATTAGCTTACCAAAGTGGAAAAGAAGATTAGATGTCTTACCACCCATGGAGCGATTCCACCTTAAATATTTGTATGTCACTGACCTGTCCACTCAGAACTGGTGTGAACAGCAAATGGTATATGGGAAGGAGCTTCCTGGTTTCTTGTCACCTGAGAAGGCAACTGTTTTGGACACTGGTGCCAGCATCCACCTAGCTAGAGAACTAGAAGTTCATGATCTTGTGACTATCCCCATCACCACTAAAGAAGATGCTTGGGCAGTTAAGTTTCTGAACATATTATCAATGATTCCTACCCTGCAGTCAGGAGGGCGTATTAGAGAGTTTCCAGTGTTTGGAGAAGTGGAGGGTGTGCTTCTTGTTGGAGTGATTGATGAGCTGCACTATACAGCCAAGGGGGAGCTGGAATTGGTTGAACTCAAGACACGCAGACGCCCTGTGCTTCCCCTGGAGGCTCAGAAGAAAAAAGACTGTTTTCAAGTTAGCCTATACAAATATATCTTTGATGCCATGGTCCAAGGAAAAGTGACCACTGCTAGCCTACTCCACCATGTGAAACTGCATCCAGAAAAGCCCCTGGGGCCGTCAGTGCTGAGGCATGCCCAGCAGGGAGGCTTCTCTGTGAAGTCCTTGGGTGACCTCATGGAGCTGGTCTTCTTGTCTCTAACACTATCTGACCTCCCAGTTATTGACATTCTAAAGATTGAGTATATCCACCAAGAGACTGCCACTATGCTGGGAACAGAGATTGTGGCCTTTGAAGAGATGGAACTGAGAAGCAAAGTGCAGCACTACCTGGCCTACTGGACGGGCCACCGAGAGCCTCAAGGGGTTGACATGGAGGAGGCATGGAAATGCCGGACATGCAGCTATGCAGATATCTGTGAGTGGAGGAAGGGTGGTGGGGCGCCCAGTGCCAAGCTAGAGCCACAAGCCAAAAAAGCCAAATAAACACAAGGCATGCTTTCAGAAGCTTTGATCCTTCCTGCTCCTGATGTAGTCAACAGAGTGAAAGAGGACCAGTCTCTGATCCTGGCTTTCATGGAGAGTGGGAGAGTGTTCTTATCTTGGTTCTTTTCATATTTCATCAAGCTCTCACCACTCAAATCCAGGACCAAGGCTCAGGGGTAAGTGGGAGAGATCTCGGGTTATACTGTCCCTGGAGCTTTGCTCTAGGTTGCCAAGAAGACAGATGCTCATCATGGCTGACGCAGAGGTGTCCTTCAGCAATCATTGCTTCCTGAGAAGTCTTCAGTTTCTGTTAAGCCTCCCTATTTTTTCTCAGTCGAGGCTTTCTACATTTTATGTAATAAAATAAAATGAAACTGTGCAGATCGGTTGAACTGATTTTTTTTTTCATGATCAGTCCTTTAAAGATGACCACTAAAAACAGTTGTGTGTATGCTATTCCAAGCCTTTAAGTACATACAGAAACATATTTCTGAAGCAGAATTAGTAGAATGAGCAGACCAAGAATTTTAAATAGGCATAATAAATATGCTTAAAGAAATAAGGGGAAATGAAGCAGGAACAAGAAGTCATAAAAAATGAAAATATTAGATATGAAAAATATAATACATGAAGTAACATTTACATTGTATAATTCAGCATTACCACTCCTAGGTATGAATATACACTGTAGCACTTTCACAATAGTGAAACCTAAACCTAGAAACTACCCAGGCTCCCGTCGGCAGAAGAGGGGGTGATGTGGTCTAACAGACAAAACAAATGAGCTACAATGACATCAACAATGTAGATGAAACTTAGCTGCATAATATTAAGTGAAAAGTAAGTCCCCACAGGTTATATATGGTATGATACCTTTTCTATAAAGTGAAAAACAAAAATATTTTAAGGAAAATGTAAAGACAGGGGAGAGGAACCTCTGTGCATCTTAGAAGGCAATGGAGCCTTTATTTGTAAACGTCACCAAAGATGCCAGAGGAAAGAATGATGGATGCAGCATCATCTGGAAGGGAAAGGCTTGTTTATGGAGACACTACTGGAGAATTGGCAGAAGTAGATGGAGCGGGAGAGGAGTTGGCAGGGGTGGAATATTGTTAATGTGACTCCATGTTATACACGAACTGGTAAAACCTGGACATTTTTGGAGATATAGTAGGTTACCTCTAGAGTCCCTCTGAGCTACACATACTCTCTTCCTAGGGACAATGGGAATCTTGTGATAATAACTTGTCCCTTTTACTGAGTGAATGTTATGTGCCGGGCACTGTGCTAAGCACTTTTATAATTAAATCTATGTATCCATTATTATCACCAATGAGGGAACAGCCTAGATATGTCTGCAGTGCTTATGCTTTTAACCATTATGCTGTAAATTTTTCTTGCTGCTGTTAAGCCTTAGGCACTGTATATTATTCTAGGTCCTAGGAAGTGTGAAACAAAATTCGGGGCATAATAAACTGGACCTTATGGGATAAACAGTATCAAGCTAATTCGTAATCTTTAATAAAAGAACTTGCCCAGTGTTCTGTGGCATCATCTTATTTATACTAGAAGCTTTAAGAAGGGGAAAATGAGAAAAATCAGTTGGTTTCAGACAGTAACCCTGTCAGAATGCAGCAATTTTGTAAATCAGTAATTGCCTGAGCTCTCTTAAAATCCTTATTTTAAGTTAACATCTTCTGGTTATCAGTTTATGATAAAATAGTTGAGGCATCTGTAGTTGAGATCACCTCAGGATCATTGATGATTTTCCCCACACAAATACTTCCCTGGTTTACAGCCTTTGCATGTCTAATAATTTCGTCTCTCCCTTGTGAATTCTACCTAAGGTGTCTGAACCCCAAATTATGGACCTCCTGCATGTTTTTCAGTGAGTGGGTAAATGACAAGAGATGTCACAAGAAAGCTATTTCTTGATTTTTTAAAACTTGCTTCCTGGGCCAGAGAATGGGTTGAATACCTTAATTAGGATTAGGTTCCACTGTTCGTAATAGAAATTGCCAAAACAATAGTGGTTAAACAAAATAGAAATTTCTCTCTTATGAAAAAGAACCCTAAATATAGTTAGTCTAGGTCTGATGTGGCAGCCCGTGATGTCAGAAGCCCAAGTTCCTTCTCTCTTTTTTCTCCAACATCAAACAGGTATGTTCCTACTTCATAGTCCAAAATGGCTGCCCAAACTCCAGTCACCATTACACATTCAGCATAGAGCTGAAATAGAAAAAGGGCATCATTTTAAGGACACTCCTAGATTTGCATTACTGTTTCCGCTTCCATCCCATTGGACAAAACTTGGTTACATGGTCATTGCTAACTGCCAGGGTAGTTGGGATATGTAATTTTTATTCTGGGACTGCCTATACCCAGACAAAAACAAGATTCTATGGACAACTGCAAAAAAGGGAGAATGGATATTGAGTGACAGCTTGCAATTTCTGCCCCATTGAGATTTTCAGGAACACAGTTGGCAATTTTTGCCTTGCCAAGGGCCCTAAACCCTTGGGGAGAAGAGGAACAACATGAACATGACTAGTCCTTAATTGGTCCCCACAACCCCATCCTGGCACCAAAATGTGTTAGAATGAACACTTCCAGGTTAAGGCTTATAATTTATAAAATCTGATGCCATCTGTTGGATGGGATCTGGACAACTGTTTCCTTGCCTTGCATATTCTGGGGTAAAAGCATCAGGTTGCAAGGGTTAGCTTTCAGAATTTGATACTTGCAAATCCATTGGAGGCCTGCAAGGAGGCAGATCCTCGAGGCTGTGAGATTCTTCGAGGCTTACCTAATGATTCTGGGCATCCTGTGGCACAAAGCAGAGAGCAGGTTTGAGAGGACTCAGCCAGGAGATTCAGTTCTGGCCCTCAGGCAATGACAGAGCCATGTGACAAGAGCTAGTATAGGGTGGTACAGGATACAAGAGATTTACAAAAGCCCAGTCTACACTGGACTCTTGAGGTCAGGAAAGCTTTAGAAATGATAGAAGTGAAGACTGCTGAGACCTGAACAGAGTGAATTAGCTGGGTTTAGAGTCTTTGAGCAATAATTTTTCAGGCAGAGAATGGTATGTGTAACAGCCTGGCAGACTTAGAACATGGTGGCTTCAAGTATCAAAGAAGTTTATTAAATTTAGATAATAGGATGAAGGGAAGTAGGAAATGAAGCTAGAGAGGTAAGCAGGGCACAGATAATGTAAGACCTTAAAAATCTGGTTTAAAATTTTGGAGTGAGAGTTGATGAAGTCCTGACTGTTTGCTCCTCATTTCTCTTTTTCCAATTTTCAATATCTTAATCTTTTTTTATTGTGGTAAAATACATAACATAAACTTTACCATTTTAATCACTTTTAAGTGTACAATTCAGTGGCATTAAGTACATTCACACTATTGTGCAACCATCTCCACCATCCATCCACCTGGTGATAGTATCAGATCCCACAGGGTAAGGGCTAAGTCCTACGAGTCTGCTCCCCCCACGTCAGATGTTAACTGCATGTCCAGGTTGTCACCTGTGCTTCTGACTTATAGGCTATAGATCGGAGGTTCCAATGACCCCCTCAATTCGCTAGGGCGGCTCACAGAACTCAGAGAAACATTTTACTTACTAGATTACCAGTTATTATAAAAGGGTATAATTTAGGAACAGACAGATGGAAGAGGCGCGTAAGAGCAAGAAACAAGAGAAAGGATACAGAGCTCCCATGTCCTCTTTGGGCTCACCACTGTCCCTGAAACTCCACGTGTTCACCAACCCAGAAGCTCTCTCAACCACATCCTTTTGGGTTTTCATGGAGGTTTCATTACATAGACAGTGTTACCATAGAAGAAAGAACAGGGCCACGGGGAGAGATGGGGAAGGAAAGAAAGGAAGAGATGAGATCATTTTTAAGGTGCAGCTACAGCTAATTGTAATAAATCATAATACTATCAGCATTGTGGGCAGGGAAAAATCTCCACCCACTGTGTCGCCATGACAGCTTCGACAAGGGCCAAGTAAGAACAAGGGAATCCCACCTCCCAATGGGAATGCCTTTGACTCCACTCCTAAAACTTGACTATTTCACACCCTCATTGGAATAAAATCCTAAGGCTCTTTGTTCTTTGCCCTCACCCTGGCCTGCCCACTTCCAATATTTTGGGAGGATTCTCTTTTCCTTTCCTTTAATAAATCCACTGCTTGTTTGGCTTTGTTTGCATGGCTTAATTTGGTATGTCCTTGAATTATTTCCTGTGATGAAACCAAGAACCCGTTCTTCTTTGGTAACAGCATGATTGATTAAATCATTGGCTATTGGAGATTGATTCACCCTCCAGCCCCTCTCCCCCAGAGGTCAGGGGGTGGGACTGAAAGTTCTATTTTTTTTAAAAAAGATTTTTATTAAAAATATAGCTAACATACAATATTATATTTTCAGGTGTACACGTAGTTATTCAACATTTATATACCTAACTAAAGAAGTGATCACCATGATAAGTCCGGCAACCATCTGACACAGTACCATGCTATCACAATATTATTTACTATATTTCCTGTGCTGTACATTACATCCTTGTGACTTATTAGTTTTATACCTGGACCTCTTATTCCCTTTCACCTTTCCCCCCATTTTAAAATTTTTTCAATTACAGTTGACATTCAATATTATTTTATATTAATTTGAGGTGTACAGCATAGTGGTTAGACATTGATATAATTTAAGAAGTGATCCCCCTGACTAGTCTAGTACCCACCTAGCACTATACGTAGTTATTACCATATCATTGACTATATTCCCTATGCTTTACTTTACATCCCCATGACTCTTTTGTAACTACCAATTTGTACTTCTTAATCCCTTCACCTTTTTCACCCTGTTCCCCAAACCCCCTCCCATCTATCACCCTGATAAATCTAGTACCCATCTGACACCATACATAGTTATTAGGGACTGAAATTTCTAAACCTTTAATCACATGATTGTTTCTCCTGGCAACTAGCCCCCATCCTTAGGTGCAGTACAAGTCACCTCATTAACATAATAAAAGATGATTATTGCTCTCATCACTTAGGAAATTCCTAGAGTTTTCGGAACTCTGAACCAGAAACAAGGATGAAGACCAAATATATAGATATAGGTATAGATATAGAGATAGAGATAGATATAGAGATAGAGATATATAGATAGATATAGATATAATTATAAATCATAGTATCACAGAAACAAAAATATTGGGTTGTTGGAAAAGTCATGACGCATTTTTGCAACGAAAAACATAGAAAAAACATGTCATGACTTTTCCAACAACCCAATATATATCCTCATAGAACATATACTACAATATGAGAGATAGAAAGGAAAAGGAAGAAGAGTAATCAAGGATGACGCCTACATTTTTGCTTGAGTAACCAGGTCAATGATGGTGCATTTATTGAACTAAAAAGTGCTCATTGGGGTAGGAAGGACTTAAGGGCTTGTTTTTGACATGAGAGTTTGGAGGTGACTTTTAGATATCCAAGGGGAGATTTCAGGTGGGCATAAGGAATTAGGGGTCTGAAGTTCAAGGGAGAGGTGAGGGCTGGAAATAAAGATTTGTCTGTCATTGTCATATAAGTGGTATTTAAAGCCATGGGACCAAATGAAATCATTTAGTGAAAAACTGCAAAAAAAAAAAAAATAGCCCATGGCCAAATCCTTGAGTATTCCAACATTTGGATGTGGAACGCAGGAAGGGTATTCAGTAAAGGAAATAGAGAAATAGTCTTGGTGAGGTGGGAGAAACTCGTTTTTTGAGATGTTCCAGAAACCTCACAAGGAAGATTTTATTTCAATTATGTTGAATGCTCTGGAGGTCAAATATGAGGACAGAGAGTACATTTCATTTTCAACTGAAATTTCATTGGTAACTTGACAAGAGCAGTTTTAGGAGAGTAGTTAGGATCAAAAGCCAATTAGAGTGGACGGAGAGAACTGGCGTGAGAAATTGTAGGCAGCAACAAGAAACAACCTTTTAGAGAAATTTTTAGCTCAAGTGGGCTATAGGATTTTTTCAAGATGTGATATAAAAATATGTCTTTATGACAATTGAAAATGCCAATAAAGTCAATGGCTACTAATGTCAAGTGGCTTGTTAATGCTGCCAGGCAACAGTATTATACTTACTACATTTCCTTAATCCATTCACTTTTTCACATTCCTAAATAACATTAGAATCTCAGATGTTATAGATATAAGATGCATCATTATTTTCTGTACTAAGAAAGAAAAAAATGCTGCCAATTAAGCTGTGGCTTACCATCATTTGTAAGATAGCAATTTCACAGACATTGACATACGAAAAATGTGTATTAGAGGCAGTGTGATACAGTATTACCATTTTTCTCCTCAGACCTCCACTACCTCTCCTTATCTTCACTTTCAGCTTCCTAGTTCACTGAGAAAATAGAAGCACTCAGAAGAGGATGTCCTCATTCTCCCACTGCCAAATCTGCCTGCCTATCTGCATATGTACCTATGAACTCTGCTTCTCCTTTTATTTCAACGGATGAATCGTCCATACTCTTACAACTCATCCTTCCGATTGCATACTGGATTCCATCACTCCTCTCTTCAAGGACTTTCCTCCTGCAACTGTCCTGTCTGTCCTGTGTTGTCCATTTTCCCATCTCTATTGTGTCATTTTTATTAGGATACAAACATACTGTAATTCCATCTTAAAAAAAATTTTGGACCCATAATCCATATGCAAAGACAGCTCTATTTTTCTGTTCAGCCTAAAAAAGCAAAACTGTCTATATTTGCTTTCTCCACTTTCTCTCTCCCCATTTTTCCGTTCCACTCTTATCAAACTCTTATCAGATTTTATCAGACTTCCACCACTACGCCAAAATGCCATGTGTCAACAACTTCCACATTGCTAAATTCAATGGGCATTTATTGGTTCTCATCCTACTTGACCTATCAGCAGCATTTAACATAGTGGATCACTCCATCCTTGAAACATTTTCTTCCCTTGATTTTGCAGATCCAAACTCTCCTACTTTTCCATCTACCTCATGGATTATTCCTTCTCAGTTTTCTTTGTTGGGTCCTCTTCATTTCCCAGATCTAAGCTACTGCATTGCTAGAAGAAACCGAACTGAGTAAGGGTAATTTATTCTCTTAGCATACTGCTGATTTAGATTAAAAATCTGATGTCTATTTTTTTAAGCGAAAATGATAAGTACACCTGCGTTTTTCAAATGAATATTGCTCTCGGGGCGACACCAACCCAGGAACCTCCCCAAAAGAGGCAGAAGCATTTGACGCATTCCAGAAACGGGCTCCACGGGCCTTATGGGAAATGTAGTCTCCGATGAAAGGCCTGCACCGCGGGGGAGCCTGGGAACTCTAGGTGAGAAGTTACTTCCGCACACGCGCAGTAGAGTGGTAGCTGGTATTCTGTTATCTTCGAACCGGTTTCTCTTAAAGTGAGAGTGGGTGTTGCTCCCGGAGTCTCTGAGAGAACTCTGTAGGCTGATCTAGGGCTTACAGCCGGAGCTGGGAGCGAGGCGGTGAAAGGCTGGCAGGTATGACTCTGCGGGACTTGGGGGACGTATGGGAAGGGCGGGGAGAAAGACGGACAGGTTTAGTGGCTTACCCAACCGAAGATAAAACTTAATAACTCGCACGTGCGGTGACTTTGTGTTTGGGTGTGTGGGTCCTGTCCATTTCTGGAGTAGTTCAGAGAAAGTAAGCGCAGGGCTCCGACTGCCACTCAGTGGGTTCTCAGATCCCAGGTGGGGCTGGGGCGGGCTCATTTTGCATCCCTTCCCTTGTTGGTACAGGTCAGTGTGTAGGAAGGAGTTTGTGCATCAAACTGTACTTTTCCTGGTTACAAGAGCACCGTTAGCCTTACCAGAGCCTGCAACAGGAAACGTTAAGCCATTGCAAGAGATCTAGGAAGAAAGTATTTCTAGAGAAACTGCTATTCTGTCTTCTTAAGGTATTCTCACTACAATTGTCTGAAGTTAACTGTTATCTTCATTTTGTATATGAATTACCTGAAGCTGAGAGAAGTGAAGTTACTTGCCTAGACACACAGCTTAGGAAGTGGAAGAGCTGAGATTCAAATCTAGACATTTTCTTTAAATTTCATTCTTTCTGCAAGATAGCAAAAAAAGAAAAAAAAAGAAAAGAAAAGTTGGATTTATTCTCCTTTTGAAATATTTGAGCAATGAATACTGTGTGTGTGTGTGTGTGTGTGTGNGAGAGAGAGAGAGAGAGAGAGAGAGAGAGAGAGAGAGAGAGAGAGAGAGAGAGAAAGGGAGTCTAAACGGAATGTTCCAGTTAAAAAAAAAAATTGTCCCCAGGTCTCTGGATCTAGCCTCCATCAGCAAATCCAACTTAATTTGAGCTCTCTTACCCCAGCTTCAGAGCAGAGACCAGAAAATCACAGGCAGGAATGACTGCCAGAGATACTGAGCTTCAGAGACCAGGCTTTTAATTAGTCTTTAAAATAATTTATTATTATTTTCTTAAGATAAATTTCTGGGAGGAAAAAAATGTCACAGGTTCAGAGGTTAACAACTTGCTGTTAGATCAGTAGGATAGACATATGGAACAGCCATATATCCAAGTAGAGATCAGTGCTTATATGTAGCGGCTTTTCTGACTTGCTAGAAACATTCTCCCTCTAGGTAGCATTCTTTGAGGCTGCAGTGTGGGTACTTCTGTTCTGATAGAGCAGGGTTCTACGTTGCAGTTCTGATAGAGCAGGGTTCTACGTTGCAGTCCTGCCTGGTTTTTTCATGTCTTTCTGTTCTCTTCCCAGTTCTACTTTCACAGATCTCCATGCAAGAGTTGCAGAAATGATCAACTTCCAGGTAAGGTATTTATTCAATCATTTAAAGCTCTCAGAAATCCATATAAAAATGCATAGTCAGGGAGAATGTAGATTGACTAGATTAGGTCCAAAAGGAAATTTGGAAAATTGATAAGTTCATATTCATATTACAGGGTGTGCACATAGTTGGAATAAATTTGAGCTATATATGTGTACCCAATCTTTCCAATGATTATAGAAGGTGGAAAAGCCAACCAGTTGAAGTATTGGCATTGTCTGTGAGATAAAGCAAAACAGTTCCCAGATAAGTAAAGTTTTTCCTGGCAGTATGCTCTGAAGAAAATATCTTATAATGGGTTTTCATAGAGATTATGTTAAAAATAACACTCTCAGCAAGAACCCTGTGATAAATATAACATCTGATTTCCTGTGACTTTCTTAGAGTGTTCCCTAGAGTAAATAGAGAACACAGTGCCAAGCAGCACCATATGAACTCAATTTGTAAGTCTAGGCACATAGCGTTTTTTTGGGTTTTTTAAAAAGATTTTATTGGGGAATTGGGAGAGGGGAACAGTGTTGGGGAATTGGGGAAGGGGAACAGAGAAGTTGCTGTTGTTTTGTTCTTCAGTCTAGCTGTGGAGGACGTTGCTTCACTGGCCCATGTTGGTATTATGATCATTGCGCTTTTCCCGGTTGAGGCAGATCGGTCGCTGGCCACTGGAGCTTATGGCAGCTCACACCAGCTGCCGGCTGCTCACGCTGGCTGCCAGCCACTCACGGTAGCTTATGGCAGCCCACTGCAGCCCCACTGCAGCCTACACCGTTGCCGGCGACTCATGGCAGCCCAGCTCCAGGTCGAGCTGTTGTTCACCATCTTAGCTGTAGAGGGCTCAGTGCCACTGGCCCATGTGGGATCCGAACCGGGGCCCTGCTGCTCAAAGCTGGCGTCCCAAGCCAACTCTTAACCAATGCGCCACTTGGCCGGCCCAAGGCACATATTCTTTTTAATGTTTCTCTGGAATGAAAAGTAAACTTTGTACATTTTCCAGTGTCTCCAAGCTATTCTTGAACATTTTCTCTTCCATGTACATTTTACAATCAGGTTGTCAAGGTCCATAAAGGAGTGTGTGTTAGGTATTTTTTGTTGTGATTGCATTACACTTTTAGATTAATTTGGAGAGAATTAATAATTAATAAGGAGTCCTCCATTTAATTTTTCTTATAACTCCTTCATTACTATTTTATAGTTTTATTATTGAAATTCTTATATATTTTTTCTAACGTTTATTCTTACATGTGGTTAAAGTTGCTATTGAAGATGGTATGGATATTTTTTCATTGGCTATTCTGATATATAGGAAAGTATGGATTAATCTATTTGACTTTACAGTCATGTGCCGCTTTGCGACTGGGAAATGCATCATTAGGTGATTTTGTCATTGTGTGAACATCACAGAGTGCACTTACACAAACCTAGATGGTATAACCTACTGCACACCTAGCTAGATGGTATAACCTGTTGTCCTAGGCTACTAGCCTCTACAGCATTTTACTGTATAAAACAACACAAGATTAAACCAAGAACAGGAGAAAATGATTCAATCAAGAGATGCTCTAAACAAAAATGTGTGAGGCTTCTGCAGTGTAACAGCATACTGTTTTACAGAAACCTTTTTTTGCCCTAATAAGTAGAAAGAGTATACTCTAAAATAACGATTAAAAAGTAGTTTGCTGCTTTTAACATAGTAGTTCATTATCACTGTCATGTATTATGTAGTGTACATAATTGTATGTGCTGTATTTTTATATGACTAGCACCGCAGGTTTGTTTATACCAGCATCATCACAAACATGAGTAATGTGTTGCACTACAAGTGTATGGCTACAATGTCACTACACGAAAGGAATTTTTCAGTTACATTATAATGTTATGGGGTCACCATTGTCTGTGTTGCCAGTTGTTGACTGAAACATTATACAGCACATGATGTATGTCAACTTACAGAACTCTTACTAAGTCCAAGAGGTTTTTAGCTGGTTCTTAGTTTTCCAGTTAGGCAATCATATACTCTTCAAATGGAGTTTTTCCCTTACTGCTCAATCGATATGTCTCCATTTTTCTTTATCTTATTGCAATAGACAGGACTTCCAGTAACTATAATTTTGGATGTAATTGCTAGCCAGATCTTTTTGTTCCATTATTAATGGGCACACTTCCAGTTTTTCACTGTTTCCTCTTGTATTCTGGTAGTTGTTTTTGTTTTTCATCAAGTTGAGGATTTTTAGCTTGTGAAGATTGTTTTCATAATTTGAGAACTTTTCTCATATCCTTTTTTAAATGCCTGTCGATAAAAATCATGTATTTTGTGTTCTTTAGTATAGCAGTTTAGAGAATTTCTAATACATTTCCCAATACTGAACTATCTATGCATTCCTGGGATAAACCCTACCTACTTTGTTAACTTTTTAAAGGGCTGGGTAGCAAATATTTTAGGCCTGAAGGCCATACAGCCTCTGTGGCAATTATACAACTCTGCCCTGGTAGCTGAAGTAAATGAATGGGTGTAACTACATTCCAGTAACATTTTATTTACAAAAACAGGAGGCCAACCCGTGGGTTGTATATAGTTCGTTGACCCCTGCTCTATATGGTCTTAACTATCTCTTTGTGAGAGACATGTAGCCACATGCCTTTTTTATTTCAGTTTAAATTAATTAAACATGATTTTGGCTTTATGGTTTAGAAGATCTATTTTATCATGTTACAAAATCCACATCTTCCTATTTTATTATGTTTACGTGAGTCTGGTGTGTTAACCTTATAGCCCCTGTAACATCTTATTGCATTTAAATGTTTACTTTGTAGTGTCTAATAGAATGTAAGGTCTCTGAGAGCAGTGATAATTTTATTCTTTTCTGCATCACTATTACAGCATCCGGTCGGACCTCATTAAATATTTTATGAGTGAATGAAGAACATATAAGCAGTATTTTAAAATAGTTTTATTGAGGTATAATTCACATATTACAAATGGATCTGTTTAAAATGTATACAATTCAGTGGTTTTTGTATATTCATGGAATTGTGAAACCATCATCACTATCTAATTTCAGGACATTTTCATTACCCTCAAAAGAAACCCCATCCCCAATAAGGGTCACTCCCCATTCCTCCCTTCCCCCAGCCTTAATTTACATAGTGTTTCTATGGATTTGCCTATTCTGAACGTATTATATAAATGGAATCATACAATATGTGATCTTTCATGACTGGCTTCTTTCACCCAGCACAATATTTTCATCTATGTTGTAGATTCCTTTTTATTGCTGAACAAGATTGCAAAATAGGGGTATACGGTACCACGTTTTGTTTATCTGTTCATCAGTCAATGGATACCCACTTTTTGGCTATTATTATTTCTGCTATGAATATATGTATTCAATTTTCTTGGGTATATACCTATGAAGAATTGTTGGGTCATATGGTAACTCTATGTTTGTCATTTTGAGGAACTGCCAAACTGTTTTCTGCAGTTGCTGCACAATTGTACAGTCTTACCAGCAATGTGCAAGAGTTTCAGTTTCTCCACATCCTTGCTAACACTTGTCATTGTCTGTCTTTGATTTTAGCCATCCTAGTGGGTGTGAAGTGATATCTCATTGTGTTTTGATTTGCATTTTATTGACTAATGGTGTTGAGCATCTTTTCATGTACTAATGGACTATATATGTCTTTGGAGAAATGTCTGTTCAAATCCTTTGCCTATTTTTAAATTGAGTCATCTCTTTATTGTTGTATTATGAGTTCTTTTTATATTCTAGATAGAAATCTCTTATCAGATATATGATTTGCAAATATTTCCTCCCATTCTGCGTGTTATCTTTTCCCTTTCTCTACGATGTCCTTTGAAGCACAAAAATTTTAACTTTTGATGAATTCCAATTTATCTGTTTCCTTTTGTCACTTACACTTTTTCTGTCATCTAAGAAACCATTGCCTAATCCAAGGTCACAAAGATTTACTCCTATGTTTTCTTCTAAGGATCTTATGATTTTAGTTCTTAAATTTAGGTTTCTATCTCATTTTAAGCTCATTTTTGTATACAATGTAAGGCGTGTGTGGGAGGGGAGTCCAACTTCATTTTTTTGCATGTGGATATCTGGTTGTCCCAACACCATTTGTTAAAAAGTCTATACTTTCCCCCATTGAATTGTCCTTGCCGGAAACCCTCACCCGTGCCCGGGCTGCCCTGACCAGCCTCCTCCCCCAGCCCATGGAGCCTCTCAAGTCTAATGTCCCCTCAGCTCCCACTACCCAATGGGAGTGTCGCCTCCACACAGGAGCACCTATTGTGTATGCATCAGGAATTAGGGATGAATGTGGGCAAGGATGGACACAGCCTATTGAATATTTTTAATATGATTTTTGTTTCTATCACAAAGTATATTTCTGAATCAATCATACAGTAATTATCATATATCTTTTTCAAAACTCAGCAATAAACAATATCACCATAAGAGGCTGCCATGATTCTCTTGCAAGCCCCCAAGTGATGCACACTTTAGTTTGAAGATCAATGTGCTGTTACAGGGATCAGTGACATTCCAGGATGTGGCTGTGGACTTCACCCCAGAGGAGTGGCTGCTGCTTGACTGTGATCAGAGAACCTTGTATTGGGATGTGATGTTGGAGAACTTTAGAAACCTCATCTCAGTGGGTAAGGACAGAGGGTGATAACTTTCCAGTGTAACTCAGAATGTATTAATAGTGCCCTTCCTTGAAAATTCGTGAAAGCTGTGAACATCCTGAAGCTTTAGTAAGTTTGGCCCTGAATGTTAGTGATCAAAGATTTTTAATCTCTTTGGGGGGTCAGATAGTCTGCTTATGCTTCTACCTCCCACATGGAGGAGGAGGGTCTTTCTGTTCTAAAGACTCTTTGTCATCCTTTACAGGCCCTGAGACTCAAGGAGGCAGACCTGAGTTGTGAGGTAGTTGTTTGTCCTTAGCACCTTGTTCCCAGTTCTGTGTTGTTTCCCATGAACAGGGGGTCCAGTTACCAAAACAAAAGTGATCTTCAAGGTGCAGCAAGGACAAGAACCACGCATGGTGGAGGGAGAGAACCCACATTGGAGCCATGCAGGTGAGTGCGAGCAACCAGGAGATGGGAGCCTTTGGAATTGAGATCCCAGGTGGGCAGTGAGGGACAGGCACCTTTGAAATACTTTTCAGGAAGCAGCTCTTAAAAGCCACACACCTTTGGAAGTGACTGGCTGCCCTGGACATAACACCATCATAGCCCCAAATGTCACCTTCACCTTCACTCTCCCCATGTAGCTGCTCTTTCTCTTTGCTCAGCTCTTATATGAAGGTATGTCCCTCTCCTCTCTATGCCGGCTCCTCGCACTGCCTGCTTCATCTAGGTCCTTGCTTTGTTCTCTTAATTCCTAAAATCCTCATTCTGCATGCCTTCCCACATATTCTCAGATCTTTTCCATACATTTAGTTCTTAGAGTGCAGTCAGATTGTGTGGCTTTGAAGTCTTACTCCACCAATCAGTGTCTAACTTTATTTATAAAATAGGGATATTAATCCTTAGCTCAGGTTTCTTTGTAAAGATTATATGAGGTAATAGATGCAAAACCTTTTAAATAGTTGGCAGATAGCAAGTGTTCAGCATATGTTAGTTGTTTTTATTTCAGGACTTTTAGTTACATTATGCTCTTTCTAAGTATTTCCCTTTTTACAAACCTCATTCCTTTTCTTGCATCATGTATCCCACCTGTGTACCCCACCTTGCTCATCTTTAGTCTCAGTGCTAACTTGGAGCATCTACCTTCTAGTGCATCTTTCTACTTCACATGGTAATACTGATTACCTAGTGGAACTTCTTCTCCAACTTTGAGTTGGTTCCTTGCTAATATGCCCTCACCCTTTCTTACCGCTTATTCACCTTTTGCTTCTTGCCTTCTCTTCCATCTTCTGGACTTTTCTCCACAGTAACTCCCTCAGAATGTCCATCACTTTGAAGACCAAAGTCATTTGTTTTATGCCATCTTCAGCATCTTTGCAAACTCTCCATCCCCCTAATTTTACCCCACCTGGCCTTATTTTCTCTGTTTTTTTCATAATTGCCAGTGTTCTTCGACCTTCACCATTATCTTTATATTGCAGTAAAGGATAATGACTGGCCTGCTGCTTTGCAGTCTCAAAATGACTGTGGTAACCAATTTGGTTTCTTTCTCTCAAGAGTTTTTCCTTAAGTACTGTTGTGGCTTATTGCCTGTGATTAAACTATTAGTTTATCCAAGTTTGATTTAGAATTAAATTTTCCCTTCCATAGAGCCCATAAAATAAATATGTTTCAAATAATTAAGACACCAATTAAGTGTACTTTAGATTTCTTGGGAACCCGACTTCTAATAACATAAACCAAATGAATTTGAACTCCTGAAATGGTGTCTAGGCTGTTTATGTTCCTATATTGCCAAATCTTTTCTATTTTCTAGTTTATCTTAGATGTTCTTGCAAGATTATCCTAACTATTTCATTTTTCTTATCATTCTCCTGACAAATAAACCTGAATTATTCCTTTGTAACCTGTGTTGTTATATTTAAATGGCCCTTAAGGTCCTCTATAATGTGATCCCATTTTGTTTGACTAGAATTGTCAATTTTTTCCCTATTCCATGGCAGTTGGGTTCTTTAGCATTGTCTGTACACAATTTTCTTTGCATCAGTCCTTTTGATCCTGGTGGTCTCCACCTAACTAAAACCAGCATGCTATTAAATCTGAATTCAGTTTTCTCCTCTTTCATGGTAACGCAGCCTAGATTAATCTCTATCTTCTTTGAATTCCCATCCCAATTGTAGTATGGCTCTACCATAAAAACTTGACAAATACTCTCTCAATGTTTTGTTGTTGTTGATTTTTACCCTATGGCTTTTAAGGCATGTTTTATCATGATAACACCTTGAAGAGAAAGGCCTATATCATTTTTTTCTTTACAGCATTGCTGAGCACATAACGGGCATTCATTGAACATTTCGTTAATTCATTGTTGTAAAGTCAGGCATTGTGGGGATGTTTCTTATTCTTTATTCAACAAGGCTTTTTGTTGTTTCCTGAGAAGGATTCAAACAAAGCAAAACAGCCCATTACCTTTTTCCAGGTGTATAAATTGTAATTGAAAAGGCAAAACAGCTGTATAAAATATTTTAAGAGTTGACGCGTGTGGAATGTTTGTTCAATGCACGTTGCGGTTTTGTTTTAGTTAATTGTCAAAATGCATAGCTTAGGCAGCAGCGGTGATTATCTTCGTTCAGAGAACATGAAGTTTAAAGTTGAAAGTATGCAAGGAGTAGAGGAATCGTTTTTGAGATCATGGCACAATGGCTTCCCCTAAAGATATCTAAGTAACAGACAGGATGAAAGGGGATGAGGGAGGGCAAGTGACAGTGGGGGAGGAGCATGAGCAAAAGATTGCAGTTATGTAGAGTCTAGAATCCTTGGAACAGAAGGTATTTGTTGAGGACTAGAGGAATGTATGCTTGGATCCCATGAGTGAATTCATTATATTGCATAGTATGTTTATCAGGCTTATTACCCTGGATTTTTCAGTTGGTTATTGTTGGTTGAGGTTACACACGGGTTTTACACACAGGAGGGTACACACAGGATGTTGAAGTGGAGAGGAAAGAAGACAGAGATCCAATCCCCATACGTACTTAGAACCACTCTATAAAGAAATATATATAATACTAATGTCTATAGCCCACTTCTCAGTCCAGCTCCTAAGAGAAAGATAAGGTGTAGAGCAAGAGGCTAAGGGTTTTGTGCTAACACTCCACATGGAAGGAAACTCAGGAGCAGGGAATTATAACCACCTCTTCCAATTTTTTTCTTTTTTTAAATGAAGTGGTGTATTTGGGATTTCTAGTTTTGAGCATAGGCATGAAAAACTGTGACTTCAGGAGCAAGATAGCTTTCTGGGGATTCGTTTGTTAGGCAGATTGAAAGAGGATGTAAAAACAGTACTTGTCAAATACAGAAAGGACAAATAGTTGTCATATATAGAAACCCAGCCAGAATAAAAATGATAGCAAGCAGACAGCATCTGAGCCTGGGCTAAGGAGGATTTAACCCTTGAATGACCTGTTGGACATTTGTGTTTCTGGGCTACAAGAAAGTACATGTAAGAATGGCTCCCTGCTGTAGTAGAGTTGGAGCCCTGTCTATAGATATGTCTCAGCTGTGGTTTGGGTAGAGTTAGAGGACTGGAGAGATAAGAATGTTCCTGAAGGGAACTGACAGTGTGTCAGGTGTCTTAGAGGAAAAAGATTCATGAATGAGGGAACTAGGGAGCTATCCTAACAAGGTAATCTAGAAATTAGGTAGTGAGGACTCTGATTCTGATCTGCCTCCTTCAACTAGCTTGTCCTCTGATATTTCCCCCTTAACCCCGTGTCTCTTGTGTCGCTGGTTACCCTGTCTGTTAATCTCCATAATGGGCTCTCTTCATTTTATGAAACAACCTCACACCTTTGATGAGCAGCCTTTGACTGCCTTTGTACCACAGCATTGTACCTTGTGCCAATTTTACTGTCTTCCCATAAGTCAAAGCTAAGCCATCTGTTCTCATTATTTTCATTCATCTGCTCCCATCGCCTCTTTAGAGTTTTGCTCTTAAAGCTCAGGAGCAAGGCAAATAGAGGATTTGTTTTCAAATGAGAGACTAGATTTGAAGTCATGTAAGTGTCTCTCTTTAACCGTTGATGGAAAAAATTAACTAGGAATGTTTTATTGTACTCCTTTCTAGAAGCTGAGTACCCACTTGTCGATGAATCAGAGAAGCACCAGGAAAGCAAAGACAATTTTTTGAATTCAGTTTTGTTCACGTTCGATAAAATGCTGACTGTGGAGAGACTCCATGGTTATAATAGGAGCACAAGTTTTAATCCTACAAGAAAACAATCATATAAATGCAAATCATATGAGAAGAGCTTGCAACCTACTTTAGACATACTTAATTATAATAGATGCTATACTGGAGAAAACCCTTATGAATGCAAGCAATGTGGGAAAGCCTTCAAAAAAAAATTTCATTTCATTAGACATGAAAAAAATCATACAAGAAAAAAACCCTTTGAATGCAATGACTGTGGGAAAGCCTATAGCAGGAAGGCACACCTTGCCACTCATCAGAAAATTCATAATGGAGAGAGACCTTTTGTGTGCGATGATTGTGGGAAAGCTTTTATGCATAAAGCACAGCTTGTGGTCCACCAGAGACTTCATACTGGAGAGAAACCTTATGAATGCCATCAGTGCGGGAAATCATTCACTTGGAATTCCTCCTTTACTCAGCATGTGAAATCTCATACACTGGAGAACTCATTTGAATGTAAGGAATGTGGGAAAACCTTCAGGTACAGTTCATCCCTTTATAAACATTCTAGATTTCATACCGGAGAGAAACCCTACCGATGCATCGTCTGTGGCAAAGCCTTTGGCAACACATCTGTGCTTGTTACCCATCAAAGAATCCATACAGGAGAGAAACCTTACGGATGTATCGAGTGTGGCAAAGCCTTCATCAAGAAGTCTCATCTTCTCAGACATCAGATAACTCATACAGGAGAAAAGCCCTATGAATGTAACATATGTGGGAAAGCATTTTCGCAGAAGTCAAATCTTATTGTACATCAGAAAATTCATACATAATATTCATTTGATGAATATGAGAAAGTCTTAAGTATTAAATCAATCCTACTAAAGAGCAGAGAATTCATGATGAGGTGAAATCCACACATTGGAATGAATTTGGAAGAGTGGATTCCCATAAAAAGGTATTCAATGCCAGTCATGTTCTGGAATTGATAATAAAGTTTCTGTAGAAAAGATCACAGAAAACTTGAATTATACATAGTAGAGCATAGAGCTTGGAAAAAAAGCGTAAATTAAATAGGGAATGAGTGAAAACTACATTTATCATCCCTGACTTTTTATTTTTATAACAAGTTATACAATTATGCAAGTGTGAGTATAAAATGTTTATACATTATATTAAATTATATATATATATATATATATTAAGTTTCTGCAGTCAATGTCACCATTTTTTTTCTTCTAATCCTAACAATACCATGCAAGTGAAAAAAGAATTTAATAAGTAGTATGAATTTCAGTAATGTTTTCATCCATTTGCTTGCACTTTTAAAGGGCATGGCAGTGTTACTGGATCTCAGAGTCTCCTCTTTAATTATAAAACTTGAAATAAAGATATTTTCCTATGTATGTAAACACCAAAACAAAAAAAATCAAGATACCAATTGAGAGGGAAAAAGCAATTGTATTCTGATTACAATAAGTATTCAGTTGGGGAAAAGAAGTATTTAAATAAGTATGTAAATAAAACATTTGCACTCAAATATTCTTGTTCTTTTTCATTGGTACATCTACATAAGATGTAAGCACAGTTCAAATATAGTATTTAATTGAGGTATTGTCTGTATTTAATTTTAATAAAGTAGGGTGTCATAATACCTTGCAACTTCTGAGGAGCTAGTTGGTGGGTTTTTGTAATATTTTTGTGATTTTTTTTTGTAAGAGGTTGATACAGGTTTAGCTCCTAGAGATGTCTGGAATTTTCTATATAACAGCATAGGCAGCTTTAATCAAGTTGAAAAGAGCAAGTTTTTCTGCTTAGCGACTTTGCTCTGGAATGTGAATTTTCTAAGTTCAACATATTCCCTTAAAAGGATGAACTATCATTATTTAAGCTAAAGTTTTTATTGCTGTCCACAGTATCCATTGATAACATCAGAAAACCTCTATGCCTTTTCTTGGGTGGTTCTAGAACAGCTTGAACCTAAATTCAGAAATCCTCTTCCTTTCAATTTAAGCTCAGTTACAACTATGTTGCATTGTTTTTCTTTCATTAGCCATTTTTTGAAGAGTAATGTTGAATAATGATTATAAATGAATGGTAGTGCTTTTTTTAAAAAGCATACTAAAACTTAAGGATCTAAATTAAATCTTTTCTACTGACAAAAATTCTTTGTTCGACTAAACTTTAGTCAGGCTCTTGAACCTTCTCCAAGGCTCTGTACACTTCCTTGTAAAATTTAGCTTTAGCAAGAACCCTAAGTCAGTTTAACCAAAATGCTCCCCCCTCCCGATATCTGATCAGTTCCTCTTCCTCTGCCATCCTTCAGATGATGTCTGACTATCCTGGACTGTCTTCAGCAAGAGTCCTCTCCCTTACCCCTGGTGTTTCCTCTTACTAATTTTCCACCCACTGACCCCCTTCCCCCACCCTGCGCCTTGGCTATCAATTCCACTAGTCCATACTGTATTCGGAGTTGAGCTCAATTTTTCCTCCCCTACTAAAATCCCTTTACCATGGTCCCGGTACCTATTGTGATAATCCTGAATAAGGTCTGCCCTGCCATCTTTAACAGGTATCATTGAATATCTTTTTTCTTTAACACTTTCCAAGTTATTTAGGAGGCTACATGCTAGTTTCACTTTTGCAGACATTCCAGAAGTTTCTGTTGAGCTGAAAAAAAGGAAAGTCCTCTGACTATAAATACCTAAAGAATGTCCGATGTGGCTCACAAACTGATTCTGAGGACAATTTCAAAAGGGAAACTTGCCAAGGTAATTTTGAATTGTCTTCAGAATCAGTTTGTCAGCCACAATTACAATGCAATTCTTGGGTCTAGAGCACACATTTGAGAGGGGAAAACTGGGCCACACTGTTGTACATATTATGCGAATGCATATGTCAGCAGCAACAATCTGAGAGTGCGAGGTGTGCAGAAAATCATGTCTGATAATCAAGTATGCAAATTATTTTTGAGTAAAATTGAGTGAACTTAAAGTTCTTTTCATAAAATATCACATACATTTTCAATTGAATAAAATAGGGTTACAAGAACTAGATATTTGCACGTAATTGGAAGACCCTTATCTTTGCAAAGACCCTGTGTTGTTAAATGATTGTTATGATCACAGGTTATTGTAGTGTTTTATATTCTTGAACATATTTTTAAAAAAATATATCCCTAAATTTATAGTTGATATATAACATTAGTTTCAGGTGTGAGTCCATATTTGTATGTATTGTGAAATGTTCACAATAAATCTAGTCAACACCCATCACCACATAGCTACAAAATATTTTTCTCCTGATGAGAACTTTTAAGATTATTCTTAGTAACTTTCAGATATACAATACAGTATTATGAACTATAGTCACCATGCTGTGCATTACACCCCCAATACTTATTTATTTTTAAAACTGGAAGTTTGTACCTTTTTGACCCCCTTCACCCGTTTTGCACACCCCCCACCCCTGCCCCTGATAACAACCAATCTGTACTCTTTATCTACGAATTTGGATTTTTTAAAATCCCATATATGAGATCATACGGTATTTGTCTTTATCGGATTTATTTCACTGAGCATAATGCTTTCAAGGTCCATCCATATTGTCACAAATGGCAAGATTTTCTTCTTTATTGTGGCTGAGCAATATTGTTATATATATATATATCACAATTTCTTTATCCCCTCATTCATCAGTGGACACTTAGGTCACTTCCAAGTCTTGGCTGTTGTAAATAATGCTGCAAGGAAATTTTTAAATAATGAGTTATATTTTCAAATAATATGTTTAATACGTCCTCTTTCAAGCTCAGACATGTTTGTGGACAAAGTACTTCTATATTTAAAGCTATAGGTATGACCATTAATCTGAAAAAAGAACAATAAAAAATAATTTTCCCACATTTCCAGACTTAACACCTAGTATTCTAGTATTAGACTCATATATTACTACATGGGAGCTTTCCTTCTTTTCCTGTATAACCTCAACCTCAGAACATGATTTTGGTAAGAAGAACCCCAAAATGTTATTTACACTTAGCTCAAACATGACCTTAGATCCCCAGAAGCCTATTTTTCTTTATTTGAAGTCTGAGCCTTTGTCTGGTTGTCAAAAAAGTCTGAAATAGCCATGCATAATGTAAGCAAAATATCCTTTTTCATATTCACCTTCCCTCTAGAATGTTACACCTTGAGATATTTTTACTTTTGCTTTTTCCCTTTTAACAGGAACACTCAAATATATTCTTTTTTTGTTTACAATCAGACATTAGGTTGATTTTTTTCTAGTATAAAGAGGTATTTTTTTGTTTTTAATTTTTCAATTATAGTTGACACAAATATTAGTTTCAGGTAAGATCTTATTTTTATGCTTATATAATACATGCTTATATGTATATATATACACTTATGAAAATTATTTTCTTGAAATAATTTTTTCAAGTAGGAGTTAATTATAGCTAGTAAGGCAATAAACATGTTTAATCAGTATGAGTTCTCACTTTCTGTTGGGCAAAGAAAGGATTCATTTAGTCTGATTTCTGAGCAAGGTCTTTCACAGCAGGTAGCGGAACAAAATATCTAAGGTCCAAGTGACTTCCTTTTGCATCACGGTTTTCTGTCTTCATTATATTTTAACCAAGAGGGAGGAGATTCTTTTTATGCTTCCTCCTTTTGTCTTAACAAAAGAGAGACCTTAAAATCCATATTTTTCCAAACTGGAGACTATCAGATAAAAAAAAGAAAATCCAGAAACACGTTGCATACGAGGACATTGAAGCAAAATCATTCAGAAAGGATGGAAAATAAACGAATGGAACAAGATCCACTAAGCAAAGAATAGAAAGCAGATGCATCAATATTCATTGCTGTAAATCAAGGGTTGGCAAACTTTTTCTGTAAAGGACCAGCTATTAAATATTTTAGGCTCTGTGGGCAATATTGTCTCTGTTATGACTACTCTGTTTCAGTAGCATGAAAGCAGCCACAGACATGTAAGTGAATGGGTGTAGTTGTATTCTAATAAAACTATTTACAAAACAGCCAGCAAGCCGGATTTGGCCCTTTGGGTGTAGACTGCTGACCCCCTGTTCTGATTATATATTGATTATATAGCAGTAAGTAAGAAAGGCAAGATACTAGTACTCAAAATACCAGTATTCAAAACCCAATAAACAGATCATCTTAGGTATTGATAACTAAAATATTTTTAAAAACCTGTGAGGGGATCGAATGTAATTAGAAACTAAGATGGAGGGGCCAAGGGAAGACCTTCAAGAGGAGATTTAAAACAGACGTGAATGAAGTGAAGGAGGGATCGTCATCCCTCGCACGGAGAGGAACACCGGCCAAATAGGAGACACCAGTCTCTATCCCCTCTTAGCCCCCAATCGCTTGCTTAAGGAGCCAGGATCAGTCCAGGGCGGGCTCACCCCGTCTCGGCCCGCCCCACTCGGGCTCCGCGGGGCGGCGCGAACATCTACATTGCGAGCAAGGAAAGCCATCTGCACTCCAATTGTCGGGTCCCAGGAATTAAAATTAAAAAGTGCTTTTTCTAGCCCCTGGTAAGACTGAAAGAGGAATCTCCACACGCTACAGCAAGAAGGACGGGGCTGCGCTCCGCGGCCGCGCGGCTGACTCAGATCATGCGCCGCAGGGACTTGTGGGAGGTGCCGCCGGCTCTCTCCGCGCAAGCGCAATAGGACCCGGCAGCAGGCTCGGCGGGGCGTGCGGGTGCAGAGCAGGTGAGTCTGGGTGCGTCTTCTCAGCGCCGGCATCTACTCGCTGCAAGACTGGGGTTCGGAGGGGGCACCACGGGTCAGCGGGAAGATGGAGATCAGAGGGCCAGAGTGGGGGTGGGATTGAGGGACTTGAAGCCCAAATCTGAGGCCCCAGGAGCGATGGTCCCCAAAAAGAGTGGCGCCTGCGATTTGGCTGCGGAGGGTTGGATCCTTCCCACTTCCCTAAAGCAGTCACTTCACCCAGCTTTGCTCATCTCAGACAAGAGCATTAGGCATCTGCCTCCCGAGTGGCTCCAAGATCCTTTTTGCCTTCAGACCCCAGCCTTGGCTCGGCAGCTGTGTGCCCCGCTGCTCCGGGCTGTGAGCGGCCTCAGGTCCTGGCCGCGGTCCCAGGATAGCGGCGGTGGGGGTCAGGTGCGGGTCTCGCCTCACAGAGCAGTGTGTGCCCGGTGTTTCCACCCTTTGGTGCCTCAGGTTTCTCCCTCAAGTGTTGCAGTCCCGGTGTCCAGAGGTCCCTAGCTTGAGTTCCTCCAGGTCTGTATCCCGGTAAGTGCTTAGCTTAATAACTTGAGCCCAGCTGGGTTTCCGACTGTAGGACTCTTGCGGGGGTTACAGACCTGGGGCCCAGCAGAAAGATGCCGGCCGAGGAAAAGGCGTTCCAGAGCCCATAGGAACAAGCCATAAGAATGAAGGCTGCAGCCCCACAGGCAGCTGGAACCTATTTTGAGAGGACACACCTGTGACCTGTGGCCTCCCCCGTAAACCACTGTGCCAAGGCTGGAGTCTGGAGGAGGGAGGGGTTCCAGAGCTGCTGGGGCTGCAGAGGTCACTTAGCAAGGCTTGGGTCGGGTGACCACTTTCAGGGACCAAAGAGAGTCTATGGAGGTCTTGACTCAGAATAGAGGGACGAGGACTTACCTGAGATGGTGGACGATCTGTAGTGTGGAGAAAAGAAGGCATCATAGTGCAGAGTGGTTGAGGGAATGATTTAGCCTAGGCTGAACAGTTGTCCCAGCTGGCCACCCTGGGGCTGCAAGTCAGGCTTGGCCTCATGGCTCCTTTCTCCTACAGCTTGGCCTCCTTAACACCCTGACCCTGCCCACCAGGAAGAAGAGATGACCAATTCCCAGGTGAGATGCAGTTTTCCTTTTTTAGTCTAGAATGTGCCTACTCTGGAGGAAAAAGATAAGTTCCTCTTTCTTCTTTAGGAAAGACCGAAACCAGCATTTATGGAACACTTACTGCATGCTACATACAGTCAACATTGACTTTTTTTTTAACTCTCACAACAATTGTGAGAAGCGGATAGTCCCATTTTACAGATGTAGCAACTGGCGTGGTGAGGTTTAGGGATTTGTCAAGTTCACCAAGCTATGAACTGTTGGAGCCATGATTCTTCTCTTGGTCTGTTGCCTCTGCTGTGCATGTTGTCAGTGGACAAGTCTTCTCATCCAGAGAATGAGCCTAAATTGTACACATCTAGAGGGCGGGGCCTAGTCTGTGAAATGAAAGACTCCTAAGGGAATGCTCTCTTTTTGTCTGGTGCCCTCCTTTAAATTTGGTCTCTTCTGTTCCTAACGTGTTGCTCATTCATTTATCCACTTAGTCATGACTGCTCCATGCTCATTTATATACTCAAGTTGAGGACTGCAGTCAGTCCTACCTGCTGGAGGAGGGGAAAAATCAGTGTGCACTGGGGTGATTGAGGAAGACTTTTGAAAGAGGTGAGCTTTTATTTCTTAAAGAGACTATTTGAATATATGGCAAACTTCCATACCTCTTCCAAGTCTATTTTTTGTTGTCGATAGGTGCTTTATGGCCTAGGATATAGTCAGTTTTTGCAATGTTTCATGTGTGCTTGATGCATATTCTCTAAAGGTAGGTGTCAACTTCTGTAGGTGTCCATAAGATCTGACTTGTTCAAAATTTCTGTATATTTACATATTTATGTTTGTTTGCTTGACCCATCAGTAACTGAGAAAATATGTGTGGAATCTCTTTGTGTAATAGATGTAGGCATATTTCAGAGATACTGTGCACTCAGATCCAGACCACCGCAATAAAACAAGTATAAAAAAGGGTGTCACATGAAATTGTTTGGTTTCTAGTGCATATGTTATGTTTATACTGTAGTCTATTAAGTGTGCAATAGCATTATGTCTAAAAAATATATATACCTTGATTAAAAAATACTTTATTGCTAAAAATGCTAACCATTTTATGAGCCTTTAGTGAGTTGTAATCTTATAGCTGATGGAGGGTCTTGCCTCGATGTTGATGGCTGCTCACTGATCAGAGTTGCTGAATGTTGGGGTGGCTAAGGCAATTCTTAAAATGAGATGACAATGAAGTTTGCTGCATCGATTGACTGACTTTTCCTTCATAAACGATTTCTCTGTAGTGTGTGATGCATTTTACCCACAGTAGAACATCTTTCAAAATTGGAGTCAATCCTCTCAAACCCTGCCTGCTGCTTTACCAACTAAGTTTATGTAATATTGTAAATTCTTTGTTGCCATTTCAACAATCTTCATAGCATCTTCACCAGGAGTAGATTCCATCTCAAGAAACCACTGTCTTTGCTCATCCATAAGAAGCAACTCCACATCTGTTCAAGTTTTATCCTGATATTGCAGCAATTCAGTCACATCTTCAGGCTCCACTTCTAATTCTAGTTCTTTTGCTATTTCTGCCCCATCTGCAGTTACTTCCTCTACTGGAGTCTTAAAGCCCTCAAAGTCATCCATAATTTAGTGATGGATCCGATGTGAGGGATAAGAGAGAGGAAATCAAGCCTGACCCCTGTTTTTCTGACTCGAACATCTGGGTGGTTGAGGTGTGGTTTCCTGAGTTAAGGAACGGTGGGAGAGAAGCAGGTTTGGAAAGGAAGATCAAGTCCGAATTGAGTAGGTTGATTTAGATACCTTTGAGACATCCAAGTGGGTATTTATTTCACTTGGTAGATATTTATTGATTGCCTACTATAGATTGCTTACTGGATGTTCATCAATTAGAGAGTTTTATCTGGAACTCTAGATGTGGCTAGAGGTCTTGGCTGCCAATATACATTTGAGAGTTGTCAGCCTTCAGATGGCATTTGAAGCTATCAGAATAGATGAGGTCACATAGGGAGAATGAGAAGAGGGCCTAGGATCCAACCTAGGGAACCCCAGCATTGATGAGTCGAGAAGGAGACTAAGAAAGAGTGATCAGAGAAGTAGAGAGAAAAACCAAGTTACTCTGGGCCGGCCGAGTGGCGCGATGGTTAAGAACTGGCTTGGGACACCAGAAGGCCCCGGTTCGGATCCCACATATGAGGGCCAGTGACACTGCCCTCCACAGCTAAGATGCTGAACAACAGCTCAACCTGGAGCTGGGCTGCCCTGAGTCGCCGACGGAGTAGGCTGCAGCTCCTGTGGCAGTGGGTTGCCATGGGCTACCGTGTATAGCCAGCGGCCAGCAGCAGCCGTGAGCAGCCGTCCCGAAGCCGGAGACTGATCTGCCTCGCCCGGAAAGAGTGCAATGATGGTGCCAACTTGGGCCAGTGAAGCAACGTCCTCCACAACTAGACTGAAGAACAAAAAAAAAAAGGACAGCAACTTGTCTGTTCCCCTTCCCCCAATTCCCCAGCGCTGTTCCCATCCCCCAATTCCCCAATAAAAATCGTAAAAAAAAAAAAAAAAAGAGACAAGCACACTTCAAAACAAAACAAAAAACAGGTCACTCTGATATCAGCCTCGACAGCATTTCTCAACCTTCCTAATGCCGTGACCCCTTAATACAGTTCCTCATGTTGTGGTGACCCCAACCATAAAATTATTTTCGTTGCTACTCTATAACTGTAATTTTGCTACTGTTATGAATCATAATGTAAATATCTTTTTGTTTTCTGATGGTCTTAGGTGACCCCTGTGAAAGGGTCGTTCGACCCCCAAAGGGGTCGTGACCCACAGGTTGAGAACCGCTGCTCTAAGAGGAGAGAGTTTGAGGAAGACCATGAGGTCAGCAGGGCCAAATAATGCCAAGGAATCAAGCATAAAAAGGATTGAAAACTTTCCGTTGGATTTATCAGCAAGGAAGTCACTAGCTATCATAATGAGGATGAATTTCTAGAATTGGAATTGCTGGATCAAAGGATATGTTTGATAAATACTGCCAAACTGTTCTCCTAAAAAGTTGTACCAGTTTATACTCCTTCCAACAGTGTGTGAGGGTACCTGTTTCCTCACACTCTCACTAGAGATGGGGATTAGAAGTCTTAATCTTTGCCCAATGGATAGGGGGAAATAATGTCTCATTATCTGAATGTCCATTTCTGTGATAATTTGTGAGGCAGCATATTTTATCTTTTTTTAATTGATTTTTAAGCGCTCTTCATATTATTAGCCTTGGTGAGCCTCTGTATAAGATACATGTATTTTTTAAAATTGTATTGTTCTTTTTTTTTTTTTTTTTTAAGATTTTTTTATTGGGTAATTGGGAGGATGGGAACAGTGATGGGGAATTGGGGGAACGGGAACAGACAAGTTGCTGTCGTTTTGTTCTTCAATCTAGTTGTGGAGGACGCTGCTTCACTGGCCCAAGTTGGCACCATCATTGCGCTCTTCCCGGGCGAGGCAGATCAGTCGCCGGCTTCTGGACGGCCGCTCACTGTGGCTGCTGGCCGCTCACGCTGGCTGCTGGCTGCTGGCTGCTGGCTGCTGGCTGCTGGCTGCTGGCTGCTGGCTACATACGGTAGCGCATGGCAACCCACTGCCACAGGGACTGCACGCCGTCGCCGGCGACTCATAGCAGCCCAGCTCCAGGTTGAGCTGTTGTTCAGCATCTTAGCTGTAGAGGGCAGTGTCACTGGCCCTCATATGTGGGATCCGAACCGGGGCCCTCTGGCATCCCAAGCGAGTTCTTAACCATCGCGCCACTCGGCCGGCCCAATTGTATTGTTCTTTTAATTCTTATGGCTTGGGGCAGAACTCTGAAGTCCCTTTATTCTGTCTACCTGTCTCAGTATTCCCAAGTTTACCCTTTGTACCACAAATGGTGGTGTAGATGCTTGCTCCCTGAAGAGGAATTACTGTTCATTGGTGTTTTAGGAACCTGTTACGTTCAAGGATGTGGCTATGGACTTCATCGAGGAGTGGGGGCAACTGGACCCTGCACAAAGGGCCCTGTACAAAGAGGTGATGCAGGAGATCTATGGCAACCTGGTCTTAGTGGGTGAGGACAGCTACTCTTTGGAGAATTTTTTTTTCCTTGGTTGTTAAAAGCTGTAGGCTCTAAAAGTGTTTAACTAAGCAAGGGCTTGAGATTCAGGTATCAGAGTGTCCAAATTACTATTGAAGAAGGAAAAATGTTGCTACCTAAATAAAAAAAACTGTTTCCCCTCCCCGACTTGTATTTCTCTTTTTTTCTTTTGAGGTGAAATTCACATAACATAAAATGAACCATTTTAACATGTGCAATTCAGTGGCATTACAATGTTGAGTAATTACCTCCTCTATCAAGTTCTAAAACATTTTCATCCCCCCAAAAGAAAACCCCATACCCATTAAGCAGTCACTTCCCGTTCCCCCCTCCTTGTGATTACTTTTTAATTAGAAAATATTAAAAGTGTATTATACATAAAGTAAAAAGTATCAGATGCTTTTCTGTTTATATTTATATATAAACAGGGAGAAAAAAATATAAGCTCACACACACAGGCATTCCTCGGAGATATTGCAGTTTAGGTTCCAGACCACTGTAATAAAGCGAGTATCATAATAAAGTAAGTTGTTGGTGGAGGGTGTTGCCTTCAGTTTGTAAAAAAGCAACACCTGTGAAGTGCAAGAAAGCGCAGTACAATAAGATGAGGTGCTTATTTTGTATCTGTGTATTTATTTATTTTACAAAAATGAGTTCTGCAATATCCTTTCAGTTAATAATAAGTGTTACATATCTTTACATGTCAAAATATTTAGACCCATTTCAATCTTTTTCGTGGCTGTGTCATATTCCATTATATGATATATTGATGTAATGAAATTAATTTTTTTCTTTCTTTTTTTGTTAGTTTCAGGTGTACAAAACAATGTAATAGTTAGACATTTACACCCCTCACAAAGTGATAACCCCTCTCCCCCAATCTACTACCCCTCTGACATCGTATATAGCTGTTACAATTCCATTGACTCTATTCCCTGTGCTGTACTCCACACCCTGTGACTATATATATTTATATATTAAATTATAGTTGACATGCAGTATTATTCAGCTTCAGGTGTACAGCGCAGTGGTCAGACATCTACACTGTCCATTAAGTGGTCTCCCTAATAAGACAAGTGTCCATCAGTTACCCTACCAAATCTTTACAATATTATTGACTATATCCCCCAAACTGTCTTTTGTATCCCTGTGGCAATCTTGTGGTTACCAATTTATGCTGTCTAATCCCTTCCCCTTCTCCCTCATCCCAACCCCCCTCCCATCTAGCAACCCTCAGTTTTTTCTCTATATCTCTGAGACTGTTTCTGATTAGTTTGTTCATTTAGTCTATTCTTTAGATTCCACATATAAGTGAGATTATATGGTATTTGCCTTTCTCTGACTGACTTATTTCACTTAGCATAATGTTCTCTAGGTCCATCCATATAGTTATTATTAATGGTAAGATTTCATTCTTTATAGCTGAGTAATACTCCGTTATATAAATGTACCACAGTTTCTTTCTT